ACGATGGTCGAATGTGTGAGGTCAGGCATTACCATCACCAGAGAAATCGTCGTGGAGAAAAACCTGAGCACGCGACGTTCGTTCCATTTGGCGTGGCCGTCCATTGAAGCATGTTTCGGACCACCTTTTTTTTCTTTTTTTTTCTCTGCAATGAGGTCTGCCGCTACTGCTGTTCGGGCCTTCGCTTCATTCGGGAGCTGTCGAGCACGTCGCCACAAATAGCGACGAACAGCGAGTATACATGCCATACATACGGTTGATCTTCAAAGCTCGATTGCTCCACACCAGAGAGAAATGGCTGTACCGGACACGGCGGTGTCGGCACCTTCTCGTGGAGAGCTTTCCGAAGACGTATGGTTTGATCTCGACATTCTCTTCTTAATGTATTAGTCGAGCTTTCAAAATCGGTCCAGCGGGTGTTACCATCAACAGGCATGTAACAAAACACACACACACGGCGTGTTGTCCCGTTGTTGAGTGATGCACACGACCAACAAAACAGGCTCCAAAAAAAAAGCTCTATTTTGGGTCATCCGCAGCATGCCTCTTCCGGCGACATGTGTGATTGTATGTTTGGATCTTCCCCATCGTTCCCCGCACATCGACCACCGCATCGCACCGACAACCGGGGAAGCTGAAGGGAGGGGGGTGCATTCCTTCGCAGTAGCCTTCACAGCGTTTTTCGATGAAGTAAACATGTTGGATAAAGAATGCAATCGGGGAAATTGGGTTAGGGTTAGGGTTGGGGATACGGTCTGCGTGCCCCCTCCCTAGTCTATTTCCTCATCATCTTTATTTCTCGCAAAAGGAAGGCGGTCCTCTTTTTTCGTGTCATTTTTTTGCGGCGTTTCTCTTATTTTGGTTCCTGCTCCACGTGTATGCACATGTAGCCCGTGGAAGGATTTGTGTCAGAGAGAGAAGCAACTACAATAGTAGCCTACACATGTAACTGCCGCCACAAAATGGCGGCCAGCGGCGTATGGTAACATACCGCTACTCTCAGCAGGAGTGCCAATGAAGAAGGCGAGGGCTCCCGTTTCGAGCGCACACGACCTACAACCATACACAAAAGTGTGTGCCTGCGTGTGTAGTTTTTTTCGGCTTTTTTTTTTATTGCACTCACTCCATGCGTAGTAACCGCCCTGTCGCAAATGTACGCGGGGAAGATTATTCAAGCTTGGGATGGCCACCAGTAACGGCCAGGCGATGCCGCGAGGTCTTACACACCCATTCCTTCATTTTTTCTCGTCTACATTCCAGAAAGAGGAGGAAAGAGATCGCCCCGCCCGTCCACCAAAAGACGCCGCTCCCATGACCACCACCAACATCACCACCGCTGTGAAAGATGGCCGAAATAGGGGGCGCCGAATCCCACGGTTGCGGTGTCCGAAGATTAGGTGGGGGGGGGGGAAGGGGAGGAAACCACGAGAAATCGCGGGGCCCCCGGCGTTCCGGAGGAACGGGAGCTCCGCGTCGTGGGGCTGTGATGTTGTCGAGAGCCAGTTGCCGACGAGGAGAACAATACAGGTGATGCCATGCCATGTCATGTCGTGTCATGTCATGTCATCCCACCCTATCCTCCTCGTCCCCTCCATCCTTGCTTCCTTACCATGTGACTTGTTTTGCCGCAAGAATGGGATGGTGTTTTTGGTTCTGTGTGGGGGGGTGTTAACCCCGGGGTGGCTCGAGTGGTGTTTAACCGGCCCCCGGTTTGATCGAGCGGGACGTGAAGGATGCGAAAGAAGATGTCGGCATCCACTTGCTTTCACACACGGGCTCCCGTTTTTTTACGTCCTTGTGTTGGTTCCTTCCTTGTGGCGGCCTTGTTCTGGGCCGGTGTTTTAGCGCGATCGATGCTCTATCTTAAGAAATACGCACAGGCGAGCGAGGCTGTGTCAGAGCTGAGTTACGTTTGGGACGGATTTTCCGAGCATAGATCGAAGCACGCTGCTTGGGAGGACCACTAGCTAATCTCTTTTTGGTTGGGTGGGGGTGGGGTTACGGCAACATCACTTCCTTCCTGGCGTGCCACGCCATGCACCACACGCGTGCTGCTGCTGCTGCTGCTGCTGCTGCTGCTGCTGCTGCTGCTGCTGCCATCCAATCACCTGTCGACCCGTACTCCATGCCGCGATCTGAGCGAAGCCAGCGTGCCAGCGTGCCACCGCGCCCTTGGCCATGCGGCTGGCCCACCCCCATCACAGCGACCGACGAACCGAAACCCATTCCCCCGCACGCGCGAGCCGAGCGGAAACCGGTTGTGCTGACTCTCCCCGCCGGCCCGCGGCGGTTGCTCGACCCGAAATCCCTCCGGACACGAAATAACACAAAGCGGCCGAACGAACCGACCCCGAAGGTGTAGCGGACCCCGACGGTCTAGCCGAACCCATCTCGACCAGACTTGGGCTGGCTCCACACAGTAGGGCGGGTTTTCCACCGGCCTACGCTAGATACTGGTGTGCTTTATTCCTCCCCCCCGTACAGTGTGCGACCGACGATATCGTCCCGACCTCCCTGCAACACTCCCTGACGCTCCCTGACAACCGCGAAGTAGAACGATGTCTTGTACTTGCTTTTTTGGGTTCAGTAGGGTTAGAGGTGGCGGGGGGAGGGATGTACAGTAGTAGATTGAAGGATGGTTTCTCCCGAGATGGCTGTATTTTTTTTGTTGGTGTGGGTCTCTCACGGCAGTCATGTAGTACTGCTCTTGCTGCTTGTTGACGTGATGCTCACGATTTTTTTTTTTCTCTCTTGTTTCGCATTCCGCCCCGCGCTTCTGTACATATCTCTCGATGCAACGGGCTATGTGCCTTGGGGCAGTAAAGCACAAGCGCCGCAAAAACCTCCAGGGCGAATTCTCCGGTTACACCTCTATCTCCTGACGTTGTCGTACTGTGCATGCACCCCTCCCCCCCAATACCATCTGTCCCTTCTATCCAATCGGTGGGTCGGATTCGGGCGCCTCGGTTACGCACGGCATAGCAGGCCGCGTTCGGCAGGCCGGTTGAGCCACTTGACGCACCAGAAGCAGCGGCGACGGGAAATGCGGCGGGAGGAGGGGGGGAGCCCCCGAAGCGGAGAGGGTCGAAGAGCAAGGAGGACAAAGTGAGCGCATACGGAAAACTTGTTGGATTATGGTAAGCGTTCAGTTTTTGTCTTTTTGCTACAATTTTTTCATTTTTTTTTTCGCTTTTTTGTGGTGATTTTTCTGGTCCCTTCGTGGCTGTTTATCTCTCAATATAGTTATAGAAGAAGCACCTTTGGGGGGTAGTGAGCCTGTGACCATGTGTACAAGGCATCCGCGTCAGCTGGACCAGTGCTGCGGATGGTTACATGTACTGAATGAGCACACATCGGGAAGGTTTATAATTTGAACACATCGGCAACAACAACAATTGGTGGAGGCGGGGGCGTGTTGTTTGGTGCCCTTGCTGCTGGAGTTGTTGACTTTCCTTGTGTTCGCTACCCTTGACTTGTGTCTTCGTTGTTGGCGGGCTATGGTTGTTACACTGCTGTCGCCGATGATGTCACTATCAAATTTTATTTTGGAAGGTATCGCGTGCTGATCCCCCCCCCCCCCCGCGAAATGTGGAGGATGTTGAAAAAGATGACAGAATGCACAAGAAGTGCGGTGATGTTGGATGGGGAAATTTCGAAGTACGTGGATATACTCCAAGGAGTCGCACAGGGCTGTACGATGTCACCCACTCTTTTTAAGATTTACATCAACGATTTGATAAGGGCGGTTGAAACAGTAAGACAGGGAGTCCAAGTAGAGGGAAAGAGTGTGTCCGGACTGATGTTTGCAGATGATTTCGTGGGGGTATCCGAAACACCAGGAGGGTTGCAAGAACAAATAGATGCGGCGGTAGGATACACCCGAAAATGGAGACTGTCGGCGAACGTAGGAAAATGCGCAGTAGTGGTCTGTAACGAAGATAAGAAAAATCCCGTAGAATTCAAATGGAAATGGGGGGAGGAAGAACTACCGGTAGTAGACAAGTATACGTACCTGGGAGTAGAGATTTCGAAGGAGTGCTCATGGGACGCACACATAGCGAAGTTGATTGGGAAGGGTAAAGCTCAGATAGGCAAGATGGACGAGATCCTTACGGACCCACACCTAGACACTAGGATTAAGAGGTGCATACTCTTGAAGGTGATTGTACCTAAGCTAGAGTATGCAGGAGAGATATGGGAAGGTAACGAAAAGGCCGTCAAGCAGCTGGAAACGGTGCAGATGGCAGCGGCCAAGAAAATACTAGGATGTTCAAGTACAACGAGCAACACTGTATTGAGAGCAGAATTGGGAATGTACTCTCTTAAAACAAAGAGAGACATGCAGAAGTTGAAGTGGCAGTACAAGGTAAGTAGAATGTCGGACGATAGACTACCAGCCATGGTTGACGAGGCAGCTTGGGGAAAAGCGACTCCAGGAAAGAAGGGAATCAGATGGGACAAGGTGGTAAAGAAGGTTTGGAAGGAGATAGGAGACGAGGAGGAGACGTTGGACACGGAAGGGTTCGGGGGGTT